TATTCCACTGCTATGTATTTCAGCTCTAGTATTTCCATTGTGTTCTTACATACATGTAGGCCTACATACAGTATTTCTAGAATATAAAGTGCATTTCCGCCCAAAGCCGATTTCTCACGGTATACTACATTTATACATGTAGATGAGTTAATCATGTGTTATAGTGCTTGATTTATTTATGCTCACAAATATTAATGATTGTTTTTAGGAAGGAGGAAATAAAAGTCACATACTCTGCAAAAGACTTTAATAATGTTAATCACATTATATTTTCACTTACTGTGAAACATGCATTTCCTTTCAGCTCTTGTATTTCCATTGTGTTCTTACATATTACTAGCATAAAGTGCAATTTCCGCCAAAAGCTGAGGCTCATACATTACTACGGTAGTCGTTTCTCACGGTATCCTACATTTATAGATGAGTTAATTATTAATTATTTGTTTTCTTGCTTTATTTCTTTATTCTCACAAAGTAAATGATTGTATTTATCGAGGAGGAAATGAAAGACATTAATAATGTTAATCAGATTATATTTTCACTTACCATGAAAAATTATACCACTAGACAATACATACAATACAATACATACAAAAGATAAAAGCATCTTGTCAAAATCTAGAACAGTATTAAGTTTCATATACTCGGAACTCAGATCGCCGAAAGACTGAAAAACGTTTCCATTTACCTAGAATGAGTGATGCAATGCGTTGGGGGGATGAAATATATCGCAGTTTAACTTTCAGAAAATCAATCATCTTCAGGAAATCATTTATTTCCTTTATATAAAGTTTCAACAAACACTTTATCTGAAAGAACAATGTCTCAAGAAAATATGAAATAGTATCCAAATGCCAAACCACACTTAGAGATTTAAGAGTATTGTCAAAATTATTTTTGTATTTAATTAATAATTAAACATTATTTTCTTTGACATTGAAGTAAATTGTTTTTCTCTCTACTATTTTCTTTGTGAGTAATCTCAACAAGGAAGGAAACATTCAAAGTATTTTCAAGGGGATAGGCCCTTTCAGATTCGTCTCTTATTTTGTGTTTGTGTTTATTTAAGACTCTTTCAAGAGGATGTTTATTACAATCAGGCCCTTTTATCTTATTTATTTTTAGCAAGATTCGTAGTAGCCTTTTCCTTTTCCTTCTCCTTCTCATCCTACCGGGTTCTTGAAATGTGTTTGTTTTCCAACACGTGACGCGCAAGTTTAAAGGCAAAAGCAATCTGAAGATGAACTTCGTTTATGTCTAAATAGTTCCTCAAATATAAAGTAGAGTTCTTGTCATGCGATTGCATTGTAAAAGAAACTGTGTGAAAAATACAGGAAACAGTTGACTATGTAGCATAACAACTTATGTATAGTTGTATACTGTTAGAGGCATTTGATCAAACATGATAAGATATTGACTCAGCCCTAGCTGAAAGTTTGTTTTGTATTTCATTAAATTATTTTAAACTTTCCAAATGGCAGCCCAATTGCTAAATTATATGATAACCCAATTGCAACCCTAACCCTATAAACCCTATAAACTGCATTGATACCCCAATCTCTTTGTCAAGCAATACCTCCTCTTCAAATGCTCTTCATGCTTTTGTATGATAAGTAAGCATTTTGGAATAGATACCACTTAAAAGGAAACATTTACAAGATGACAAATTAGTAATTATTCGACTGATTGTTGTTTCTCATCGAGTGGATTGGTGATTAAACAAATTGATGTTTATTTGGAAAGTGAAACCAAACTTAGGTGAAAGTTTTATGCGAGATATATGAAGTTGTGAATCCTTATTGATGATGCAAATATATGAGAAAGCGAGAGGAGATAGAGAGCGAGTGTGTGCTATAGAGAGAGAGCGAGATAGAGAGTGAGAGAGAAATAGATAGAGTGAGAAAGAGCCATATTGAGAGAGAGAGAGAGAGAGTGCAATAGAGGGACAGAGAGAGAGAAAGAGAGAGGGAGAGATAGAGAGAGCAAGATTTGTTTGGAACAAAATGAAAGGTTAGAAGATGGCAAGAGAAGAGAGAGGTGGACTGTTAAATTGATCTCTAAATCAGAAAAAAGACTCAAAGTGGTAAAAAAAAAGTCAGATACATTTAATTGAGAGAGAAAAATCGAAGAGAAACAGAGTTGTTGACCTCATAAAACACACAAAAATGACTGGTTAAGTGAAACTTTTTAGATAAAAAAGAAAATTAGAAAAAAAAGTAATTCTAGGTATTTACCGATGGAACATGGAAGGTGGATTTATGCAATAGGAAGTTGGACTCGGAGAAAAGGAAAGTTATGTTTGTTCAGCCTTTTAAATGAAAATATTATCAAGTTACTTGGGAATCCCCACTTTTAAATAAAAATTTCATTGATTTACTTGGGAATCCCCAAAGTAAACCAGATTTCCTTTTAACCATGCGATCATTTTTTTGTAATCTCTTGTTTCATTTTATAAACGGCAGCTGAATGAGAGGGAAAGAATAGATTTAACAGGGTGTTTTTGACATTGAGGTTATATGTAGTCCCATTAATAGATATGTGTGGTGTAGTCATACGTGAAACAGCGTATTACATTTGATAGCACAGTAATAGGTTGCATACTATAGTTAGGAATTGCATGCAAGATAAATCATTACCCTCTCGCATGGCTCCATTTAAACATGTCTGTCAGTACCTCCCAATCGCTTGACCTCTTGTGCACCCCTTTTAACCTACATTGGTTGACCCTAGGTGATTCTCTATGTCACATGATAGTATGAACAAATTGGGCCATTCCATTTTGTACCAAGGGGTGCGGAATACATTTATATATATTCTGCACCAATTCAATTTCCATACCATACTACAAAACAAGGAAACATTTACAGTTTGTAAAAAATTGCAAGCAATTATCATGGCAAGAAAATTCCCCCCCCCCCCCAATCAACAAGTCCATGTTGTGTCAGTTGCCAAAGTTGTGAAAATTTTTGCGACAATGCAAAAAACCTATCATGTAGGGAAAAAAGGAAATTGCAATAATTTGTTAAGGGTATGGGAAACTAAACCCATCTTTATAGTTTTAACTTGATCTGTTACGGATGTGATTCTGATATTTTATTTACTTTCAATTCCTGCTTGTATTATATGAAGAATAATAAACCAATTAGGCCTGAATTGTAAACTTGACTTTTTTGTGTTTATAGGCATTTGTGAAAGTGGTTGATTGTTAATTACTGTAATTATCATTGAACCATTGTTAAAGGGTTAAAGGCAGTACACAGCGCTAGGTACAAAACTAAACATGTCTATTTGGTATTTGGATTTGCATACAGTTTACAACTAAATCATTCATTCTCTTACCAAGTTTTGTTGTTTTTTAAGTATGTGACATATTAATTTGTCTACATTTATGTTTCTTGAGAATGTGAGATATTAAAACTTACATCTAAAAGTATTCAACAAAGGCCCTAATTCAACCAGTCCCCCTTTCATATTGTTTCAGTTACACAAAACAACAATAAAAACACCCACTTAACACAGGGTATGAATAATTTAGTTGTTAACAGTATATTGGGATAGAACACAACCTTACAAAATTTTGTGTTTGTAATGCTTCTAATTTTTTATCTAACATGATATATGCCGTTTTTGAAAAATCATATGTGTATCTGTAGGCCTATGGTTGGTCATTTTTTATGTAATTTTAACATTCTGTTCTGTTACTGATTTAAAGGGAAATGCAACCTAAAAGAAAGTAGAAAAGTGAAAGAAGTAGACTGGTGAAAGTGGGTATGAAATCAGATGAAATATAAGAAACTTATGATTTTTGAGAAAGTTGTAATTGGCTGTATTGGTAATGCCACTGTTATGTACAGCACTGGATAACTTACATCTCAGTTTATGAGAGTGGTGATTATCATGTCTCAGAGCTGATGGCTAATGCCAGCGGTGTGAACTTGTAACATGAGAAGGGATGTATGTCTAGACTGGATAGCAATGTCAACTGCGGGGCATTGTATGCTGGAGTACATACCATTTTAACTACTCAAAGGGGTGTTTCCTATTACAACATATATTGTATACACATCCCTCTCTCGTGGGCCTCGTTTACCCCCTCAATGCAGTCCCTCGTGAACTGACCTCTCTTGCACCCCCATTCTCAAATAACCTAACCCATATCCCAATGCTAATTGCTATGTAAGACTTGGGAGGGAGTAATAGTTAGAGGGGTGTGATTTATGAAAAGATTGTGTCCCTCTGAATTTGACCTCTGCCATATTAACCCCTCCTCTCCATTACCCGACCCCAAAGAAAAAGTTCATTCACATTGTAGCACATGAAAGGGGAGGGTTGTACCACTTGTGTGGAGGGGTTGTTTATGCAAACCAGGCCGGATGAAAAGGAGAGAAACTAAAGTCTGTGAGAATACTCATAGGATGATGTCAGCGGAGAGCTCGACCAGATCAAGTTCCCGAGGATTATTGCCCAGCGAGATCTCACACCTAGATAACATTGTGGGAATATTTTTGATGGTGTGTGAGAGATGCAATTCAAGAAACTTTTGAAATTGTCCCAAACTGGATTTCTGTTTCGCTCTAACACACGGTAGCACAAGCCCTGTTTTGAAAAGTAGAGGCACACTATTCCAACCATCCAAAAGGTGTTTAATTAAACGCTTTTTCTTTGCAGTCACAAAGCGCTGAACACATTGCACCACAAGTTCGGGCCACTTAAAGGGGAAGTCCACCCTGATATTAAGATGGTTTTCAATAGAGGCAGAAAAATTTACCTGCACTAAAGGAACCTGTACATAGAGACCACCTGCCTATAAAGACCACTTTTCATGTTTCCCTTGAGCTGTCTTGATGTACAGGAATCACTGTACAAGTACTCTCTTTCTCTTTTCCATTTTATGAGAAGCCCATTTGAATAATCGCAGTATTGTGTATTCAATTTTTTTTTTTCTTCATATTTTTCATATTTTTTCGTATTTTTCATATTTTTTAATATTTTTCATATTTTTCATTTGTCTCCAGCTATGTGGCTGTGCCTTGCTGGGAGTGGGACTGTGGCTGTGCTTCGACCCGAGTATGAGGGAGTACGCTACGACCTCCGGTGACCTCCAAGTCTACTACATCGCGGTCTACGTCCTGATTGGTATCGGAGGTTTCATGATGCTGGTGGGCTTCCTGGGATGTTGCGGAGCCTGCATGGAGAGCCAGGCCCTACTCGTTTTGGTAAGGAGAATGGTTGTGGTGGTGGTGGTGGTGGTGGGGGTGGTGGTGGTGGTGGTGATGGTGGTGGTGGTGATGGTAGTGATGGTTATGATGATGATTTATGGTAATAGGTATGATGGTGGTAGTGGTGATGGTTATGATGATGGTGGTGATAATGGTGGTGGTGATGATGATGGTGGTGGTTATGAAGGTGTTGGTGGTAATGATGATGATGAAAATGACGGTGGTGATGGTAATGGTGATGATGGTGGTGGTGGTGGTGGTGATAATGGTGATGGTAGTGGTGATGGTAGTGGTGATGGTGGTGGTGGGGGTGGTGGTTGTGATGGTAGTGGTGATGGTAGTGGTGATGGTGGTGGTGGTGGTCGTGGTGGTGGTGGTGGTAGTGATAATGGTGATGGTAGTGGTGATGGTAGTGGTGATGGTGGTGGTGGGGGTGGTGGTTGTGATGGTAGTGGTGATGGTAGTGGTGATGGTGGTGGTGGTGGTGGTGGTGGTGGTGGTGGTGGTGGTAGTGATAATGGTGATGGTAGTGATGGTGGTGGTGGTGATGATGATGGTGGTGGTAGTGGTGATGGTGGTGGTGGTGGTGGTGGTGGTGGTGGTGGTGGTGGTAGTGATAATGGTGATGGTAGTGATGGTGGTGGTGGTGATGATGATGGTGGTGGTAGTGGTGATGTTGATGGTAGTGGTGTTGCAGTGATGTTGGTGGTGATGTTGATGGTGATGGTAGTGCTGATGATGGTGGTGGTGGTGGTGGTGGTGGTGATGATGATGATGGGGATGGTGGTGTTAGTGGTGATGTTGATGATAGTGGTGTTGTGGTGATGGTGGTTGTGATGTTGATGGTGATGGTAGTGCTGATGGTGGTGGTGGGGGGTGATGTTGGTGGTGGTGATGATGAATATGAGGGTGGTGGTGGTGGTGGTGGTGGTGATAGTGGTGGTGGTGGTGGAGGTAGTGGTGGTTATGATGATGATGGTAATGATGGTGGTGATGATGTTGAAGTTTATAACCATGACCTTAACTTCAAGTTAACGGACCATCATGTCATATGGACCTAATTAGTGATATGAATATCAAATAAATTTAATAACCCACAACTGTAATGGACAATGTAAAATCTGCAAGAGGTCTTATCTTTTCACAATCTCTTTTTCTCCTGTCCAGTTCTTTGTCTTGCTTCTGGTGATCTGCGCAGCTGAGGTTGGAGGAGGAATCTGGGCGTATCTCAACAGGAACAAACTCAAGATGGGCGTTGAAAATGGTAATATATTGTGCTTCTGAACAAGAATACCTTGGGATTATAGTAAACAAATATTGACTGCTGTGAGGAGCACAGTAAAACTATTGCCCAATGTGATTATTGGCCGAAATGGTCATTAGACCAAATGATTATCGGACAATGTGGATAGTGGACTGGCCGGGTGTAGACCATATGAGAATAGACCAATTGGGTCGAAGACAAACAGGTCGTAGACCAAACGGCAATTCACCAATCATGTTCTACTTGTTTGACTACAAAATATCTCTTCTTTTTCCCTCTCCCCCGTACAGGCATGCAGCAGACGATAAGCGGTGTATATTCAGAGGATGATTCAGTGACATTGGCTTTTGACAAAATGCAACAAGCAGTAAGACACTCACTATCCTGTTTCTTTATGTTAAAGGGATCCGGTAACTTTGTCTCAGATTCTGAAACAAAAGTTTGGATTTAGCTCACGATGCAATGATAATTATAAACCTTTAGGTCAGTCAGGAACCCCATGACTTTTACAAGCCGATCGCCTGTCTGGTTATCAAGATATTTATGATTGGAATTACAAATTTTGAAAATCGTTCGCCTGACGGTTTTCATAACACTACAGTCTGTTGGGGAAAACGAGTATGGTAAAACCGGTCACTCAAAGATTTTTACTTTATTGAGGCACTTCTTGATCATTTTGAAGCGCAATTTTTTAGGGCTTCAATATTACACCATATCACAGACACTGATAACACGTAGGGCCGTGTATCTCAGATTTAACATTGTTAAACGATCCCTTTAAGAGCCAATCTTAAGCTCTAGTATGGGCATCAACTGTCAGGAGAACATGTCTGTAATTCATTTTGGATTGTTTATCCTGCAGTAGATTGATTGTGCAAACCAGTAAACTAAAAACAACCTCACAAACCACAACTCTCATTTGCACATGAGACCTGTCTTATACTCGAGTTTGCCAAATAACCCACTATTTTCTGACTTGGAACATTATCCCGAAGCTCGAAATGGCGGCCTCACCAGACCGATAGGCTCATCACAAACAAGCTCGGACAGGCGCAAATTAGCCCGCTATTTCCCAGATAGCGGGATATTTTGGAAAGAAGACCAAGATTTCTCGGGACCTTTTCTCTACCAAATATCCTGCTAATTTCAACTGCGGGCTTATGTGAATGCAAATCAACTGATTAATTTGCGATCGGGATAGTTAAAATAGTGGGTTATTTGGCAAATTCAAGCTAATGAAAACAGGCCTGTCATGACCTGTGTTAAGCACATAGTGTTAGGCCTACTTACCTTGATTTCCTTATCTTTCTATGCTCATTACTCAGCCCCTATACATTTCTACCAAAATTGTTTGGCTCATGTCATTTATTTGTAATGAGGTATTTGACAGTGTAAATGCGCCTTATGTGTATATTATTATCATTGCTATTACTTATAATACCCTGAAATCGAGACGGATAACCTGTAAATCAGAAATCAATTCATTCTCTCTTTTTCTTTGCAACCTAGTTGAGGTGCTGCGGAGCCGTGGGTCCAGAGGACTGGATCGATTCTAAATACGCAGAGAGGAACCCCGGACAACTGCCGGACTCTTGCTGCGTAGAACAATCGCCAAACTGCGGGACAGTCGGTCAAACGGCCATCAACTCCTTCCTCAATCTATTGAGGGGTCAGACGTCGCCCCCTATTTTTCTGACGGTACGTAAAACAACGAGGAACTAATCTGACTGCAGACTGGTTTTGAAAGAAGTCGCATTCGGATTAGTCCAAAGTCCAAAGGGGGAAGTCCACGCTGACATTAAAGATAAAGTTGAGTTCTGGTCATGCGACGTTTGGACGACATAAGAAAATAATAAGTAAACCTGCCTAAGTCTAAGCCCAAGTCTAACTCCCTTGGGTGGTCTTTCTATGAAGGTCCGACACTACTCGGCATCTTCACCATCAGATACTGAAAAATGAAAACATTTATGAAGTTTGCAAATTGTCTTTTATTTTACTTTGCAGGGCTGTTCTGATGCACTGTTTGGAATGCTGGAGGAAAACACTATACTTGTGGCAGGTTTAGCGATCGGTGTCGGTGCTGTTCAAGTAAGTTGTCGCCACTGTCGGGCATTAGATTAGTTTATTATAAGATGATGACGTGGATCCTGATCAAATGATTGGTTGAAAGCGTACACGTGACCAGGCATTTATTTTGCCTAACGCGTAATTTGGATAATGATCAGTCATTATCAAATTTTAATGACTGGTCGTTATCCAAATCATGTTATAAAACAAATAAAACATAATGTTATAAAACAACTAATACACATCATTTTGTCCGGGCATTACTAAAGTTACCCACACTCGGTACCTTCAAAACAGTCTAAACACTCGCAGGTACCACCTCAGGCATCTCAGACTATTCCAAAGATACCTCGTGTGGATAATTCTTACTAATGCCCTCTCTGATATGTATTATTTGTTTATGCTTCGAAGAAGGGCACAAACAGAATTTATTTTATTTTCGATAATTCTGAACTGTTTTCCTTTGATTGCTATGGTAAAAACATTGATAATAACAGTGTTACCAACTTGAATGATCTACAGATTGAAATGATAATAATAGTAATGAATAGCAACAACAACAACAATAATGCATTATTTACAACGAGCGTAGTACTGATGTTTCTAAGCACTGTGCCATTATTACAACAGCTCTAACCGAGTTGCCCTGTTAAGGCCCATGTAATCAAGGAATATCTTCCTACCGGTACTCATTTACTACACCTGGGTTGAGAGTGGCTAACGTAAATCATTGTCTTACCTAAGGACATAAGTGCTGTGGCAGGGATTTGAACCCTGGTCCTCGTGATCTATAGTCCGGAGACACCGAGGTGTGAAATGGGTACCGGTAGGAAGTGATTTATTGACTGCTGCGAGCACCAAAATGGGTAGCCTACCTAGAGCTGGGGTACCATTAGAACACCTTGAGCACCTTGCATTTTGGATATCAGCAGTATAAAACATCCCTAATTATCATCTGTAATTATCATGTCCTTCAGACCTTAACACCTCATACCGTAATTCTTCAGATGTCTTTTTGTCGATTTGTATTTGTTTTATTCTCCTCAGCACCTTGTAATTATCTTCTCATTTTGTCTGTGTCCAATCCAAAACCGTTCAACCATGACCACTTTTGTTTTACTGTAATTTTTTAGATATCTAATTGTTTTGTTTTGTTTTCTTTTTTTATTACATTTTCACTGAGCTCCATGGAATGATCTTCTCATGTTGTCAGTGTCTAATCCAAAACCACTCAACCATGACCACTTTTTTTTCTTTTTACTGTCATTTTTTTAATGTCTAATTGTTTTTTTTTAAATTTCGTTTCTACTCAGCTCCTTGGAATGATCTTCTCATGTTGCCTGTGCTGTGCGATCCGAAGACAGGACGACAACAAATACTACGCCTAGCCTACGCATAGATCCTAGTCCCCCTCTTAGACCCACCCCTAGGACCTAGTCTAGTACAGAGTTCCTGACCCACCGTGGACCATCACTCAAGGACAATTCAGGATGTGGCCTAGGGCCGAGAATAGGACATGATTTGGACTATCCCTAACCGAGAACTACACTTATGGACATTTTAAGATCCATTTTAGGATCCAATATAGGATGCCATGTAGAACCCCTTTTAGGTCATTTTGAAGACTTTATTACTCCAGAAATCACCAATCTATGATCCGTCTACGAAGCATCTAAGGAACTCCCAACTAAATATCCTCTTCAACTTGTTGAGGGACTTCAACTTTAATAGAATTTCAATTATCACCTCTCTTGCCCATTATTTACTCTTTATGTATCACGCAGTAACTTTAGCAGCAATTAAATTCATAAAAAGAATATAGAGGCTGAATTTAGAACTGAAACTATAAAAACAAACTTTTGCAAGGATTTTGCCTTGCGCATTTTACGTCTGCAAGAAAGCTGCTTTACTTTAATAAAAAGTAAAAACAATATTTAGTACAACCTCTTACAAATCAAAAGACATATTGGTAATATCTTTGTTTAGCCAATGTGGAGCACCAAAATAAGCTTTATACAGGTTCCATCTTTAAGGATAATACATAATCCTCAATGAATGTATATTGTTGACACTTTTGCCAAATATATTCTGTATATTTGATATAAGTATTGTCCTTCATTTATTTATTCAAATATAAGAATAATTCAGTCAAATCTTTATTATTTTGTAATGATAAAAAGTATGTATCGTACTTTGCACTTCTGTTTCTAAAGTAAAGGACAATATCAAAAGTAAAATGAAAAATTAATTAATTCAAGAATTTATGAACAGGAAAATAATGATAATACTATATGAGGTGTGTCAGGTGCCAAATCCATTTGTGCTCAGAAAACATTAATATTATTAGATGATAATTTCTGTGCATTTTAATTTTAAATCAATCTTTAAAAGGTAAAAATAATGTAGTTGTTATAATATTTCTTAGGAATTCACAATGACATTGAATATCGTTTTTCATTGAGTGAATCTAAGTTACGAATCAGAAATAATAATCTGTGAGATAAATTGGTGATTTCTCAATTATTTTCAAGCAGGTTACATGATATACTCAGATAATATGATATCATGTTATATTTGATATATAAATTGAAATATAGGAATAACTAGATATTAAAAGTATCATTTCAGTTTAGACAAAAACTATATTGAACATTTTACAAAGTTTACACAAAGGTAGGTTCTTTTTTTTGCGAAGGTGCTGGTTAAGGACATTATCATTTGTACTTTTTGCTAAAAAATTGATGTTTGACGACAGTACACTCAAACAAAATATCAGGGTTCCTTTAATTGTAGTCCAATTCACAACCAGTACATTAGTTGTTATTATATGGTAGATTACTTTAATAGTTTTTTTATAAAAGATATGTCTTGTGAATAACCCCCATAGATTAAATTATACTTTTAAGAATGACTTAAACTGTAAAAAAATTAATATTCTATTCTATAATGATAACTTGTTTTTGTACAAGCCTAATATATCATACATGTTTTGTGTACATGTGGTTATGTAACGGGAGACTTAGATATATGTATTTTAATGTAACGGTAAAGTGTACTGAGTATTTGACAGAAGGGTTATTATGTTTTGTATCTCATAGTGTATTTTAGATTTCTCGTGTATCGTAGCTATTTTCACAACATATAGACTAAGAATTAGTAAGGTAGGAAGAACTACAGTGTAAATAATGCATATTTTTATAATGCTCATTTTGTCCTTAATTTGTGAAAGTCATTTTACTACGCTTGTTTTCCAACTCTCACGGTTTTCATGTTTTTTAATGTCTATTATTTTATCACACTTTCAGTGCCACTCATTTCGCCCTACTTCTCATTTTTTATGGTGTAGTCCCATACATATGTTCCTTAGTCAGGAAAAAGGCAAATACCTTATACTTTGTTCATTTGATGCAGAGGATACAAGGTTTCACGCGTGTGTAGATTAATTAAACTCTCGAAAGGGCTAGTGTTCAAATTTTTAATTCAATTTTTGAATTTTCAAGTTTTCAAAACAATTTTGTTTTAATTCTTATTATTTGGGCCAAACGATGTGCTCAGATTATCCCTTTTTTATCTCAAAAGTGTTCATGTTATCTTTCATGAAATCATAATATCTTAAGACTGTTTTAAAAACGGAAGACGCTTATAATGCCCAGCCTTAAAATGGTATACAATTGCTTGTAACACGTGGACTTGTATTCTATCCAAATCTAAACCTGATGCTTGGTGTAAGGCTTCTGTCCGAAATCAGAGTTTAAAAAGGGAAGTTAGTTCGAGGTCTATTAAAGTCACCTTTTTTTATTTTAACGATTTTAGACTCGGGGTCGGGTTTAACTGAATTATTAGAATATGGTCCATGAACTTTTGTTAAAGATTGTTTTATTTTATATAACAAATTGCCACCATCAATATTTAGGACAAAAAAAGAGTTTTTTTAAAGTTTTTTTAATGAAATCGTGCCCAGTACACTTGCCATTTGGGGTTTGCCCCAGAAATGCAACTGACACCGTTTTATTCTTATTATTAAGTCTTTTCATTATTCATAGTAATTGCTTGAAATACAAACCTCTGACTGGTTTTCTAAAAAAGGAACCACCAGGTGTTATCCTGACTGAGTTGCTTGAACGACCAAGTCCGCCAATTTATGGAACACCAAGCGATAAACCTCTTTCTCCTTTACAAAAGCTCCGAAATGTTTCACTTATTTCATCATCATTTTCAATTTTCATTTCTCTTAGAGAACAGTTTTGAAATATGTAATGTATTTTCATCATTCTCATTTTTACTTTTCTGACACAATGGTTGGTTTCTGTAGAGAATGGGAAGGTTTTTTTGAATGGATGAGCAACATTTTTACAATTTATTATGGCAAATTTGCAATCTTTCTTATCAGAGCACCGAATCAAAAGCACCCTAAAGCACTTTTGTATTATGTTTTTCTCCAAATCTTAATACACTGAATTGACGAAAAGATTTTTTATAAAACATGCTAATAATTTCGAAAGATGTTCAAGATAATACTTTATTAAATCATTGCTTTGATGAATGAAAACTTCTTAGGTACCTTAGCCCGGCACTTTGGTATTACTTTAAAATTCCTTGTGCACCCGTGTGTGATGATTTGAGGATTTTTTTTTTTCTTCTCTAAAAGAGGTTGTTATTTTATACAAGTAGATAGCATGGGCATGAGATCCCTCAATAATAAATTTGTGCTAAAACTTCGCAAACTCCTTTACTATATATTTTGCTTCAGTTTTACTGCCTTTACTCATTGAAACATTGAAGCCGATGTGGAAGAACTTATAAATATTCATAGTACATAAGCAAAAAACTTGTACGAGGGTTGTGTATCTATAGCAACCACAGGAAAATATTTTAAAAAAGCTCTCACCTTTTACTCTCCATTCAAAAGTGAAATCTCACTTTGTGCTTGGCTTGGTTGATGGGACATTTTCGCAGTGTAACCAAATTCATACTTCAGTGCCTCGATACAAATTATTGCATTCACCCGTTACGAATAATTGTATTTAAATACTCAGAATGCATATAGCATATATTATGTGTTGCTAGGTAGGGCAAGCCATAATGTTTGTCCTAAACTAGCAGCAATTAAGATATGCTATTTGAATCATGACTATTGAGAAACATTTATTTGAAACGGGTGAATGATCCAATTCCTAATCGAGGTGCTCCACCAAGGCATATGCATGAATTTAATTGCATTACGAAAATTATTTATTGAACCGTTACATTTGATAATATTTGGCCCCCACGCAAACTTTAGCTTGTACTCAAAAAGCGCTTCTTTTATATACATGTCTGTATCATCCAAAGGAAGCATGTACATTTCAGTAGGTTATGCATATTTAGGACATTTTTAGACAACTGTGATATATTTCTACGCAATTATCGCTTTGTACCGGTTATCGATAATGTGCTTCATTACAGCATGACTGGTTGGGGGTACTAATACGCTTTATCTATCGGTTTTCTCGTATAAGTTATAATTATGTAGATGTATGTATTTGAATATGTATTTGGAAATTGCTTTAGTGTAAATAAACTACTCATGTAACTTTGTGATTTGCTTGTATTAAATGTACTTCAATGTAGTACAATCGATGATTATTAGTTATATGTGTTTGTTGTACTTTATTTCTTGTTGAGCAATTAACAAAACAGTTTTACAAAGCATTGGGATAAATTCCATTCTAAGTAAGTTGTCAACTATCGATACATCAAATTGGTACATGTTTTCAACAAACTCACAAAGAAGCAAAACACTACAGGAACACAAGACAGATTCAGTTTGTAAAAACTTTTGCACATTTATTTCTGGGTAGGGATGATATTAACTGACATTTCAAAAGTAAAAATACTGAGCTGCTTCCTAAATCAACTCTGTAAGTGCATCAAATCAAATATTCCTAACCAAAAAAATGAGAATCAGAGGAAAATTTTCTCTTTATTTATAACAAACTGTTCAGTGCAAAAACTTAACTAACCCTACATAGATGTAAAAGCAGGTCATATGACATGGACTGCGGAGTAACACATTTTTTCCCTTTCACGTACAACAAATGGAAAACTAGAAGCAAAGAATGGTATATCTTCTTTTGCATAAAAAAGGAGTTTATCCAGAAATACACATGTATTTATTTATGAAATCAATCATATCTCAACCCTCTTGAAATCTCAACTGTTGTCCTCTTTCCTCAACCAGGGGAGCATTTCACAAAGACTAAGATCTACTTTAAGTTGGGCCTAACTATAGCAGGCCACTCATGCCACTGGTTGCTCTCATCATTATGATCTTTAGATATTATTTTTTCCTTCAATAATGAACATTAACAAAATATTAGTTCTGTAGATTTGTGACCATGATTTGTACGTCCCTCGAGAAACCAATGCCAGTAAATGGTGAGAGAAAGCAGTGGCATGAATGGCTCGTCATAGTTAAGTCCAACTTAAAGTCGATCTTAGTCTTTGTGAAACACCCCCCCCCCCCCCCCCCCCCCCGAGCTCTGCTCTCCTGCCAAATCTCTCCTTGCAACTATTGCCCAATACAATAAATACATCCATCAAATTCACTCTACCCGTGCCACCTATTGTACTACCTCAGCTTTCTGACACTCTCCCCTGACCTATCAGGTTTATTGCCATTTGGTCTACAGCCAGTTCATCTTCTTCCCACTTGGTCTATCCCCATATGGTCTACAGCCAGCCTGTCTACTATGATCCACATAGTCTAATCATCATTTTGCCTACTCCATTTGGTCTAATCTCCAATACGTCTGCTACCCGTTTTGGTCTATTGCTCATTTAGTCCAATTCCTAGTTTGTCTAAAAATGCCCTTTTTGTCTACTATCTATATGGTCTATAAATGATCATCCAATCATAAATAATGGGGATAGTTTGTAGACGGGCTGGGTGTAGTAGACCATTTAGGAATAGACTAATCATGTAGTGGACATACCGTACTGGTTCTGGACTAAACGGCAATTCACCACCTATCACTACACTCTCACTACCGGTTTCAGTGACACGACTAGTCCATTGCAAGGGAATACCGCCCATCTCCAAAGCCAACAGAGGAAGTACACAAAGAAGAAAAAGATGTATGAATTCAAATCTGATCGCACTTCCAATATTTGCACACAAACCCTAATTGATTTGTACAACAAAATATAACTGTTTGTGTAAAAAAAATCCCCTTTTCACGATGTATACTTCAAGAAACATATATTCCGACAGCTAGTGACACTTACAAAACTTTCTGATACTACTATTAGAAAATACGGTAACAAAAAATCAATGCGACATTAACATCTTCACGTAGGTGTCTAAACAATACAATATTTAGATCCAGGTATATACAATAAAGAGTATAATTACATATGTACATGACACTGCTCGAGGCAAACATCATTGAAACTTTCCAAAGTCACAACAATTTTTTCTAATATAAATGTTTTTCTCAAAAGCCACAATATCTATAAAAAAGAAGATATAAAATCTGCTTCTATACATGATACTTCTGTAATAATGCATTCTCGCATCGTCAATTACATTGTTGTGCATCACTTTAAATTGCATTGTTGTACATTGTTTTAAAACAGCCTCTGATGTACATTTGTTGTTGCAGTTGGTTATAATGCACAGACCATTCCCACAATGCACGACTTCATTTTCCATCTTGTACATCAGATTATTTTGCAGTTGCACACAGGAATTATATGTATTTTTTCTCTTCGAAAAAGTTAATCGTACTTTCTGGTGCAACAAATCATGTCTTCATCATAAAAAGCAGACAAGAATCTGTATGATGAAATATTGAGAATTCTGAAGATAGTCTTTTGTAGGTTTACTACATAAAATACTGCATATAACAAGAGATATTGCCTCACTAATTCCCTTGATATTCAAGACTTTCATGTGCAAGAAATACTTCAAATCCTCACGCCAGTATCAGTAATCCATGTCTTTCAAAAGTACATTTGTATATATATCAAAACATTGTTGCTCTTTGGTGCTAATAACTTTAATATGGAATATCATTTTGTTCAGTCTTCTGAAATAAAGTTAACATGTTTTGCTTATAATTATGTTGGGCAATTCAGAAGGATGTGCAAATAATGCTTAGGCAAGTGCTGTCTACGGTGTATTCATTGTGAAAATTCAAATTGAGAAATTGCAAAAATTGATTAGGAAATTCAAACACGCAGCACAGTTCATTGCCATTGTAAGGGCACGTAGCACCCCTGACATAAATAAACGCAAGATTGTTCGATAGGAAGAATTTAATACATCAAGATAATAAGATTTGATCAGCCTCTTCAAATTGGCAACACATTTAATATTCGTTCCTCCTTATGCATATTTGATCTATATCAGCCTCACACGTTAATATTTAAATCTAAAGCTTACTAATAAATACTTAAGTAAGTCATTCTGCAAAGTGCAAAGAGTCCCTTTATAGCAAGAGCTGTGAAATAAATGGCTGATTTCTATTTCATGGAATTAAAAAATGACTCTCAAATTCTCCCTGATTGGAAGAAACAGATACTCATAGCACTTGAATAGAGAGGTTGTGCAATAGATGGAAACAACACGGTGTTCAAATTATGCCGGGCTTGCCATACCGTAACTCCTTTGTAGAGTGGGACTCTTTCCAATGCTGCTTTTTTTTTCAAGACTGCCCTCTACCGTTATAAAATCTCTTCACTTGTGGTAGGGACAATGAGAAAAGAATAACATGATTTTGCATTTTGTATATAAAATATTCCTTCTCTCTACCTCTCTAAGATTTACATTAAAATACATGTTTCGGTTATTTGTATGAATATATTAGCACACATGAAGCAATTCTATGGAGAGAAACGTATCTCAGAATCCAACATTATGAGCTACATAAACCTTACAAGGAACACCCAATTTTTGGCAAGATTTGATTGAATTGTCTACAAAAATAGCACACCGTCAACAAACGCTTAAAATGTGTTTTAAAAATGTGTGGTTTCACTCTCTATGAAATACCTACAAAAGTTTCAATTGTACTATAAAGGGTTTACAATACTTTAAGAGGCTAACACCACATACATGTATTTAAAAAAGGCAAGATATTTTTCTTTCAGATATAAAAAGGTTCCACAAACCTGCAGCTAAGTCCAACAATTTTGTCCAAAATGTTTTTTAATAAATAAGTTTTTAAAATGAGAAAATCAGCACCTTCATAGCATCAATATGAATAAATTTATTTTTCATCCCATTTTAACTTTGGCAGAAAAACAAATTTTTAAAGGATTAAAGCTCATTTTGGGTCAAATAAAGTAGTTTACAGACATGTTCAAATTGTATGCATACTTTTTCAACAAAGGTTGTTCTTAACAACCTGAAAGCTTGCGTGACACTTGCCAGACATAGCAACAAGTCATATAAGCAGACTGGATTCTGAGTATAGTAGTTAATTCATTATCAACAGATTAATGAAATAACTTGTCACAAGGTCCCCAAGACAGGAACATCCAAACATTTCAATATGTTCTTTAACTGGTCTATTATAAACATACAATCAAATAGTTGATACCTCATTCCATATTATCTCAATGCCTTTTTACTATTGCCTTTTCTCAAGAAATTAACATCCAAAATTGTTCTTCTTAACACTTTATAAAAGACATATCCATTCAGCCCGACAGAAGTCCAATCCCTCTGAATTTCTCATCGTCAAACGTTCTGCATATTACCAGGTTGGCTATTGAATTCTCTCATTTCCCATAGGTTTAACTATTGCTGTGCCAAGGGGCTCGATAGTTTCAAGATTTCATCAAAACCCGAACACTGCTAACTTTTCAAATACCTGCACTTCCTAAACAATATCTTATACCGGTACAACAAAATGTTGTGTACAAAAGTTGACAAAAAAATATTAATCTTTCTGATGGTATCAAAACTTAACCTGCTATAAAAAATGGCAATTCTATGGGTGAAATCCCCTTTGCACGCATTAGTTGTTGCTATGCCAGGGAAAGCCTCTGACAAGCTTTTCAGTCATTAAGGGGAAGCTTTTGTTGAAAATCTATGCATACAATTTGTAAACGGGTCTATTATTAGGAATTGTTGGCAGAAATGGAATACAATCTCTCTACATGATTTCTTTATCTGTTCTTTCCAACACTAAACAATAAAGGACAATTCACCTCAATTTGCCTAAATTTCGTATTGTCATCCTTCTGTCGTCCACATTGTGAGATTGTCATTCTTTTTTGTCACCCCAATGCACTGCCTCCCATTCAATAACACACAGAATAACCTGGGTTGTACATTCTTTCAAAAATGGTCACAAGGAGATTCTTCTGGGATTTGAGAAGGGCTAGATTTGCGGAGGTTGGAGCACCAGTTAATCTTCATACTCGTCATCATCGTCTACGACATTCCGCAGAAGAACCACCGCTAATATCAACAGTAAAACCTGAAAAGATGAAAGAAATAAAAATTTAATCAACATTTGCCCCTCAAAGCAAACCAGGCCTAAATAGATATTTTAAAAGGAAGAAATACAGAGTGAATTCTACTTTATATCTTTGTAGAAAATCTTTGATATTTCTTTTTTTCTTTTTTCTTTCACATGCTCATATTCTTTTTAAACAATCCACTTTGTTTTGGCAAACAAAGAAGAGATCTAAATCTATGCATAGCTCAAAACAATTTTAGATATCTCAGCATTTCTTGAAAGACACGACTACTTGTCAATTAAAGATAAACTCCAGTACTGGTAAAAAAAAAATAATAATTCTCACAGAATCAAACGAAACTTACACTGAATGTTCAAGATTACAAATAAATGACATGTGCCAAACAATTTTGGAAGAAAATGTATACTGGCTGAGTAATGAGCATAGAAAGACAAGGAAATCAAGGTAGTACTAGCCCCGACACCGTTTGTGTTGTCCCATATATAGCTTTCTATGTGAGTGATTGTTACTTTACCAAGACTCGGTCAAATTTATTATGATTTTGAAGACTCCAGAACCTTGCAGTGCACACCAATACTTACATGCTACATGATCAACTGTTTCTGATCCTTTCCACACCTTTTCTTTCACAATGCAATCGCATTACCAGTACTAAAGTTTATCTTTAATTTAGAAGTTTTTGCCTGTTTGTAGTCTTCATTACATATTTTTTTTGGTTACATTTACAATACAGTCAAACCTGTCTTAGTGGCCACCTCCCTCTTAAGGCCACTGCTCTATACTGGCCATGTGTTTTGTCTCCCTTGAGAAAGAAATGTGTGTTGTAGAACCTGTCTAGATAGGCCACGTGTCTACAGTGGCCTCTGTGTTTCCTTTGAGTGGCCTTTATAGACAGGTTTTTATATTACACAAGGTTCTGGGCCCCATTTCACAAAAACTTGTCATCAATGACAAATGACAGTTTTTGTTATAAGCTACTGAAATCCCTGCTTCTGATTGGTTATCAGCAGATTTGTCATGGATTGATTTTTGTCATTTTTCATTGAATAAAGGCTTTGTGAAACGGGTCCCTGCTCAAAATGAAAATGTGTAATTCATACATCTATTTACCTGATAACAAATTTTGCCCAACAGGGAGGATGAAGGGGGAGGGGGAGGGTCCAGACCCCCTTCCCTCTTTTTTGTGTGGCTTGTCATAGATTTTTGTGTAATACATCCCCCCTCCCCTCCCCCCCCCCCTCTCACATATTATCCTGATGACAAATTGACCCCTTCTCACAGATATTTTTTTTATTATTATTATTCATTTATTTTATTTTTTATTTATTTATTTTTTTTATTTTTTTTTTATTTATTTATTTATTTTTTTTTTTTTTTGGGGGGGGGACTTACATAACCCCTGTATGCCTCCTTGTTGAAGCATAAAAAGCCAGCTTACCTGTAAGACTGCTACACCTATCCCTATACCTCCGACAACCCAGACATAATCCAGTAGTTTGGTGTATAGCGAATGGAAACATCCCTAGAATCAGAGGAATACAAAAATGCATTTATTTTTAAAAATGAAGTATTCTGATTTATTACATGGTCCTTTTGGAGCCAGAAGGGCATCAATTCAGTGTGAAACGATCATGTAATCCCATAGGAAAGAAATGAGCCTGCCGCATACTCCTGCGGCAGACTTGCCGCAGATCTGCAGCAGACCTGCCGCAGACAGTCATCTTTTTCACATGCAAATTAGTTTTGCCGCAGACTGAAAGAGTATGCGGCAGGTCTGCAGCAAGTCTGCGGCAGACCTGCCGCAGACTCTTCATCATACTGAAAGAGTATGCGGCAGGTCTGCGGCAAGTCTGCGGCAGACCTGCCGCAGACTCTTCATCATACTGAAAGAGTATGCGGCAAGTCTGCCGCAGACTTGCTGCAGACCTGCCGCATACTCTTTCAGTATGATGAAGAGTCTGCGGCAGGTCTGCCGCAGACTTGCCGCATACTCTTCATCATACTGAAAGAGTATGCGGCAGGTCTGCAGCAAGTCTGCGGCAGACCTGCCGCATACTATGAAGAGTCTGCGGCAGGTCTGCCGCAGACTTGCTGCAGACCTGCCGCAGACTTGCTGCAGACCTGCCGCAGACTCTTCGTCACGAATATTCATATCTCATATAGACCTGCTGCAGACCTGCCGCATACTCTTTCATATCCAGTACGTGGCAATAAAGTATGCATGTAGAAGAACCAGTGATAAACTGAAACTTCATAATCGATATTGGCAATATCGATATTACCAATATGTATGTCGATATTACCAATTAGGTATATTCTATCCTCAATTGTATTAACTTCATCACATTGATCATTTGAAGTGTATTCAAGAGTAACATTTAAAGTGACACAGGCTCGTACACATCTATATACTAAATATGTATATTGTTTCTTGGTTAGTAATCATAGTTTCTTGGTTAGTAATCAATATATCTATTGCTTAAACGTGAATGTAATTTTAACATGATCAGACAAAATAATCTATTGGTTAATAATGGCAAAAGGAAAATAGAAATCACAAAAATGATGTGCATTGTCTTAATTTACTTAACAAATCATGATAAATGTATTTTTCTGTCACACGTGTAAAGTAATAATGAATATGCATGAGATGATTGGTTTCAATTGGCCCTATTAGAATTTAATGGGATTTCCTGTGGCAGACCTGCCGCAGACTGTTCCTGTGGCGTACTGGTATGCGGCAAGTCTGGAGCAAAGTTTCGCCCTGCCGCAGATCTGCCGCAGACTGTTCCTGTGGCATACTAGTATGCGGCAAGTCTGGAGCAAAGTTTCATCCTGCCGCAGATCTGCCGCAGACTGTTCCTGTGGCATACTAGTATGCGGCAAGTCTGGAGCAAAGTTTCATCCTGCCGCAGATCTGCCGCAGACTGTTCCTGTGGCATACTAGTATGCGGCAAGTCTGCAGCAAAATTTCATCCTGCCGCAGATCTGCCGCAGACTGTTCCTGTGACATACTAGTATGCGGCAAGTCTGCAGCAAAATTTCATCCTGCTGCAGATCTGCCGCAGACTGTTCCTGTGGCATACTAGTATGCGGCAAGTCTGGAGCAAAGTTTCATCCTGCCGCAGATCTGCCGCAGACTGTTCCTGTGTCATACTAGTATGCGGCAAGTCTGCAGCAAAATTTAATCCTGCCGCAGATCTGCCGCAGACTGTTCCTGTGGCATACTGGTATGCGGCAAGTCTGCAGCAAAATTTCTTTCTGCCGCATACTTCGGCATACTCCTTGCCGCAGACTAAAAGTCTGCGGCAGGTCTGCGGCAGATCTGCGGCAGGTCTGCGGCAGGTCTGCGGCATACTTTTCACTTTCCTATGGGATACCATTCTTGCTCCGAACAAATCCTACAGGCATTTTATTATCTTAACTCTATTTTGTACTAATAACACAGATCATATACATGTAAATGTATAGTACAACCAGGAAAGTTTGGTATATTTATGTTATGATGTATACCTATGTAAACACACTAGTCATATGTCAATCTTTCTATATATCTCTCAATCTATCCATCTATCTAACTACCTACCTGCTATCCATCTATCTATCTATCTATCTATCTATCTATCTATCTATCTATTTATTTATCTGCCAATCTATCTATCCATCTATCTACATGTATCTATTTATCTACTCAGTTATCAAATATATCAGTTTGTCTTTTTTATCAATCATGCAATGTATCTATATATCTATTTTATCTATCTATCTATCTATCTATTTATCTATCTTTTTATCTATATATATATATATATATATATATATATATATATATATATATATATATATATATATATATATATATATATATCTGTCTATCCCTCTATCTATACACTCAATCATGTAATGTATTTGTTTGTATCTGTATCTGTATCTAGATGTATCCATCTACTCCATCATCAATCGTTTTCTATCCATGTATCTGAATTTCCTTCCATCTTATATCATTTTCCTTTATTCCACGGATCTATCCATATATATATAAATGTTTATCCATCTACCTACCTATTTATCTACCTACATGCATCTATCTATCTACTCAAAAATATCTCTGTTTCTTTCCATCCTTTATTATTGTCCATTATTCTTCCGATCTCTCCATCTTTTTACCGTTGAATGCCTCTCTACGTTAATCTCGTCCGGCGATTCCTGACACTCCGCCCGATTGCTAAGCTTCTCTCCGTTGGCGATACAGCAGGACTGAGGAACGTAGAGCACCGCCTGCGTCGTGTTGTCCGGGTTCTGCTCCTGGTACCAGTCACTATCTTGCCAATCCGTGAAGTTATGGTTGCCACAGCACAGCAGCTGGAGGGAAAAGGAATAAAAGATGAAATTAAAGGATGGTGCGATGCAGTTCTCTTAAAGGTAAAGACCAGTTATGGCCATGCTATTGCATTGTGAAAGAAACGTTGTGGAATCGATCAGAAAAGGTTGATCCATCTAGCATCTGCAAGGTTCTGGAATCATCAAAATGATAAGAAATTTGGCCCATTCTTCGTAAAGTTACAAGCACTATACACAGAAAGATGTATATGGGACTACCTTATATCTCTCACAGACCATGAGAAAAACAAATTTACCAAATATATGAATTAGTAGGGGGTTTCCCGGCAATTTTTTTATCATCATGTATTGGTCAAAACATATTCTTTCACATGATTGGTAATGAGAGCTTCCATTTCATTTTTTGAAATTGGGGGGTTTCCAATACTGGCCTTTACCTTTAAAGGGATCCGGTAACAGATTCTGAAACAAAAATTCTGGATTTAGCTCATGCTGCAATGATAATCATAAACCTTTAGGTCAGTCAGGAATCCCATGACTTCTACAAGCCCATCGCCTGTCTGATTATCAAGATATTTATGATTGGAAATCAAAAACAAAAAAAATTGTTTCCTAACGGTTTTTTAACACTACAGTCTATTGGGGGAAATGAGTATGGTAAAACCGGTCACTCAAAGATTTTTACGATTTGAGGCACTTCATGATCATTTTAAAGCGCAATTTTTGCAGGGCTTCAATATTACACCATATCACAGACACTGATAACATGTAGGGCCGTGCATATCAGATTTAACATTGTTAAACGATGCCTAAATGAATATTTCACTTTTCACCCAGTGAGATTCCTCCCTTCCCCATCCTTTTTTCCTCTTCTCCTCCCCCTTGCCTTCCCTCCCCTTCCCTTATTCCCTTCTCCTCCTACACATTCAAAAACAAAATAAAATCTTGCTCTCAGCTAAGTATATAAAGATTGATTTTGAATCCGCCTACTCTGTAAATGTTTTCAAAATCATTTCCAGCTTTCTGGAATTCACATCCTCATTTTGAGCTCTTAGAACTGCTTGACAAGGCAGCAAAGAAAATCCTTTTATATACAAAAATCATGGTATGTAATCAACGTATATGTTATTGTAGAGTGATAGTTTTCCCCTTTTTAAGGAAGAAGGTACAATAACATAGTCAGAGTCAAGTGGATCATTAATATATCAGTTTCCAGGGGAATAAACAAAGCCAGACACAGGGCCCAGGGAGTGTTTCACAAAGACTAAGATCGACTTTAAAGGGATCGTTTAACAATGTTAAATCTGAGATACACGGCCCTACATGTTATCAATGTCTGTGATATGGTGTAATATTGAAGCCCTACAAAAATTGCGCTTCAAAATGATCAAGAAGTGCCTCAAAAAAGTAAAAATCTTTGAGTGACCGGTTTTACCATACTCATTTTCCCCAATAGACTGTAGTGTTATGAAAACCGTCAGGCGAACAGTTTTCAAAATTTGTAATTCCAATCATAAATATCTTGATAATCAAGCAGGCGATCGGCTTCTAAAAGTCATGGGGTTCCTGACAGACCTAAAGGTTTATAATTATCATTGTATCATGAGCTAAATCCAGAGTTTTGTTTCAGAATCTAAGACAAAGTTACCGGATCCCTTTAAGTTCATGCCACTATTTTCTCTCATCATTTACTGGCATTGGTTGCTCAAGGGATGGACCAATCGTGGTCACAAATCTACAGAAATTACATTTTTTGATAGTTCATTATTGTAGGAACTAGGAACTAATATTATCTAAAGATCATAATTAAGAGACCAATGGTGAGAGCAACTAGTGGCATGAATGGCCTGCCATAGTTAAGTCCAACTTAAAGTTGATCTTAGTCTTTTTGAAACACCCCCTGGATAGATTTCTGCCTAAAACATTTTAAGAATACAAGATTAAAGTCTCTGATTTCCTTCACATAATAAAGGCCTAGTGAGTAGCTATATAGATCTTACATCTTTGGGGACACCGTCAAGAGAAATTACTTAATCTACCGACTATTGAATTCTCCCATTCCCTGAGTTTAGAGAAGCCCATCTTGATATTAAATTATCTTTCACCTCTCCCCAGAACTCAACCTTCCCTTTAAGTTCTTTGACAAATTAGCTCTCAACCAATCCGATGCCATGATTTCAGTAGCTTATAACTAGTCTGCAAGCACAGACCCTAATTTGACACTTTATCAAAAAATCATTGTGCCTTGAGAGAAGCCTAGCCCAGCTACCTACCTACGGACAAACTGATGGACAAATGGACAGACAGATATAGTATCAATATTGTAACTCACCTACGGCGTAAATAATCATAATTGAATGACACACGCCCTTAAGACTAAAACAACAACAAAAAACAATGGTTGTGTCAGGAGCAGCTATAGTACATGGCCTATGTTATTTTTATATTTTTACAGCTATTGTAACTTGCTATTGAAGAGAAGTTTGATGAAACAGGGGCCTTTAATGCCTAATGACAAGTGAAATCCGATTCAGGCACAAGAGTATAGGATATTTTGGCAAAGATTAGTCTGGAACAAATGTCAGGCCACCAGAGACGAAGTTCAAAATGTTTGGGAGGGGGGATGGATGCAGACCTATGATTTGATTATTAGAGGGGTGACAATAATCCTAGATCTTTTAAAGGTAATACAAGGTTTTGGTATGGGGTCATGAATTCGGTTCAGATGAACATATTGGAAGCATATGCGATCCTACAATATTCAGTGATCGATGTCATGGTTAAAATTGCGGTTAAAATCGAGCCTAAAGTGATGAAATTGTAAATAATTGACTGTTTGTGTTGTGTAGCTCCCTCTCAAGGTCAAGATATTAATTTGACTCTAAAACAATGTTTCTTCACTATAATCAACCGATTGGCTATTCCCGTTTGGAAATTATATATTACAACTATATTCTGAGATTTTCAAGGTCGTAGCATACATTTCATGGCCGTAGGCGCTACTTGATATTCTAGTTTTTTCTCGAAAGCAGAAGTGTTTTAGGGGCTAAATTTTCTATTGCTTATAATACATCCACAGAGGCATCTAAATACCATACATCAAAATAGTAAAGAATCACTATCCAGCCAATTTTCAAAATTTCCCAAAACTTTGAATTACCTTTAATCTTTTTTTTTTTTTGTATGTTTGTTTGTTGTTGTTAGTTTTTTATGATAAACCAAAAATGGGTCATCAGGATCATTTGGTGCATTGTAATTCTGAAATTCTCTATTATGAGGAAAACAAAGTCATCACCTCAAAAAGAAAGAGGGACTTCCTTGCCTTGTATGAATGCCAATTAGGGTACAAAATGGGGGGGGGGGGGTAAGGCCGGTGTACCCCCCCCCCCTCGCTTTAAATCTGCCTATGTTGCATCGTTGGTACAGTATCATTAATCACTGGCTTTCAGAGAAGATAGAGTTGAACTTTTGCAGATCTCCTGACTACAACCCTTTGTAAGAGAACTCTAATAGTGAAACTCAATGCCGAGATGGATTTCTAGAGAGACTAGGTGTCCCGTCTTCATCAGCTTGAGTTTCCAAATAACCTGCTATTTTCAGACTCGGGATATTATCCCGAAGCTCGAAATTGCGTCTTCACCAGACTGTTACGCTCATCACAAACTAGCTCAGAAGGGCGCAGATTACCCTGCTATATCCCAAATATCAAAATATTTTGAAAACAAGACCAAGATTTCTCAGGATATTTTCTCATCCAAATATCCCGCTGATGGCAACGGCAGGCTGATGATGACGCAAAGTAGCTGGATAATTTGAGATCGGAAAAGTTAAAAAAGTGGGTTATTTGGCAAACTTGAGCTGATGAAAGCAGGCCTTAGAGGTGTCCAAAGGAGGGGGAGAAATGCAGTATACAACTTCCGATCTTTGGATTATTTGGGGAATATCAATTTACTGGGTGTCCTGAGTGGTTTGGCACGATCAAGTTTCCTTGGGGCTTACTCCAATAAGCCCCAAGGAAACAAGTGCATGTGAGTTTAAAGGAAAAGCACTGACAGCATACCAAAAAAAATTGTGAGCTTTTTCGTAGTTTTATATTCCAGTGCGGAAGAATATCATTATAGTGGCAATATCACAAGAAAAGGAATGTACTTGAAATGGCCCTCATGTGTTAGAAACTGTCATATGCCCTCACGGTCACCATATGTTAGGAATACTCCCCAGGGAGTGGAGACAGTGCATGAATGGATCCGAAGACCAGGGTATTAATGTCTGTAAAGCACTGACAGACGCTATATAATATTCATAGGCCCTGTCTTATAGACAGCTGCGATTAATCGCAACTTAATTGCAATTAAAGGGATAGTTGAGTTCTGTTTTCAGACCGCATATGCCTTCAAAGTGCATGGTTATTGCTCTTATTCGTATCTATGACATTTCTAGTGCCCTTATTGAACCTAAAATTGCTATGAAGGTAATTTTAGATCCCAAAATGTGTGAAATTTAGGCAATACGATCATACCAATTCAGCTCCACTTTAAAAAAAAAACATGGTGACCGTTAATTAATTATTTTATTAAAATAACAATACATTGGCCGGCTAATTGTGAGTAATATAAGCAACACGAAAATGCCAACAAAAAAGCCAACATCGGCATTGGCTGAAATACGACGTAAAAGGCGTTATTTCGTTTTTTTCAACGGTTTTTTCATTTTTGTCAAAATATCTAATATTTGTGGTGGTACACAAGTATTAGAAATCGTTATATTTCAGCCGTCTCTGAACTGATTGTGATCAAACAAGGATGATTTTGTCATTTGAATATTATGTTCTTTCAAATTTGACACTCAGTTTTTCATTATCTCACCAAAAAATTATTTTGTATAGCGCCCTCTGCAACAGAACTCAACTATCCCTTTAATATCAATCCGACTATGTATATAAGAGACCATAGACTGTACACTTGCGATTAACTCAGCTCAGTCGCAACTCCTTTAAGACGAGGCCCAGATTATTATAATCATTAATTAGCAGGTAAATTCATTAACGAAGCAAGCATAACATGAAGATTACGTATCCTAGGATAACCACCCTCTAGGACAACTACCCCCTAGGATAGTTGTCCGGGGGTAAATATCTAGGGGGTAGTTGTCCAGGGGGTAGTTGTACTAGGGGTAGTTGTCCAGGGGTAGTTGTCCAGGGGGTAGTTGTCCAGGGGGTAGTTGTCCAGGGGGTAGTTGTCCAGGGGGTAGTTGTCCAGGGGGTAGTTGTCTTAGGGTTAGTTGTCCTAGGGGAGGTTGTCCTAGAGGTAGTTGTCCTAGAGGGTGGTTGCCCTAGGGGTTAGATGTCCAAGGGGTAGTTGTCTTAGGGGTAGTTGTCCTAGAGGGTAGTTGTCCAGGGGGTAGTTGTCCAGGGGGTAGTTGTCTTAGGGTTAGTTGTCTTAGTGGTAGTTGTCCTAAGGGTAGTTGTCCTAGAGGGTGGTTGCCCTAGGGGTAGTTGTCTTAGGGGTAGTCGTCCAGGGGATAGTTTTCCAGGGGGTAGGTGTCCAGGGGGTAGTTGTCCTAGGGGTAGTTGTCCTAGAGGGTGGTTGCCCTAGGGGTAGGTGTCCAGGGGGTAGTTGTCCTAGGTGTAGTTGTCCTAGAGGGTAGTTGTCCAGGGGGTAGTTGTCCAGGGGGTAGTTGTCCAGGGGGTAGTTGTCTGGGGGGTAGTTGTCTGGGGGGTAGTTGTCTGAGGGTAGTTGTCCAGGGGGTAGTTGCCCAGGGGGTAGGTGTCCAGGGGGTAGGTGTCCAGGGGGTAGGTGTGCTAGAACCGAATATTACGTACCATCCTCTGCATAGCATCGATTGCCTCTGTCGTTCCTTCTCGGTTTTCTTGGCCATACTGCGTCTTTATCGTCGACCCCAATTTTGTATTCACAAAGGTTTCGACCTGAAAAGAAACATAAGACAAAAGGGAAAATCACAATTTCATATTCAGAATCTGTCATTTTAATACTGATATATATGAATACAGTCAAACCTGTCTATAGCGACCGCCCAAGGGAAACACAGAAAGTGGTCTTTGTAGACAGGTGGTCTTTGTAGACAAGGTTCCTTTAGCACATGTTTCAATGAGAAACCATTTTCAAGGGAAACAAAAAATGTGGTCTAAGTAGACAGGTGGTCTTTGAAGACAGGTGGTCACTTAAGCAGGTTCGACTGATAACAAGTTTAACAAACATATATTTTAAGGCTACTATGTGCTCTTGTAGTGTTTCTTTGTTTCACCTTCATTCATTTTTCCCTTTATTGACGATCTTTATCAACATTTATCATCCTTATATTTAAATACATTAGAAGACTTTTATCTTTCATCTTTTTTTTCTAATGAGGAGGGGGTTTCATGTGATATAATATTTTATATTTGATACATTTCTGGTACATCAAAATGCTTTTGGGTCCATTTTAACAAAAACTGTATTCATTGCATTTAATTTCTATATGCACTTCAGTGGCTCAAAATATTGATTTCTGTAGTGTTATCTAATTGTCAAGATATCCTCTGATACATATTCATTTCAAATCATTAACAAAATATTAACTATAAAAAAAAGACGTAAGCGAGGCAAAAACAAGGAAGGAGTGGGCGACAAGCCAGGAACTGCTTCTTCTCCGCCAGACCTCTCCCTTTAAATGCTATATAATATTGATTTCTGTAGTGTTATCTAATAAATTGTCAAGATGTCCTCCGAATCATATTCATTTCAAATCATCAAAAAAATATATACTATAAAAAAAAGACTTAACTGAGGCAAAAACAACAAAGGAGTGGGCGACAAACCAGGAATTGCTTCTTTTACGCGTGACCTCTCCCTTTAAATGCTAATGTAAGTGCTGACATTGCACATCTATGTGCAACATATCGGCCACAATCAACTTAATTTCCCTGAGGACTCGAGCCGACTCGAGGAAGGCCCAAGATTTGCTCTTCAGCCAGCTAATTGGATTTTCAGCAGAAGCCAATGAGCTTACTGCCAATTGACAAGCTTGTCTTCTTGTCTTGGCGAAATTTACAGATCCCCCCCCCCTGCCCGCCCTTATGCCCCCTAACCCTATATAACAAACTGCCCCCCCCCCCCCACACAAACACACACCACACACCCACACTGTTCTCCCTGTATTCAAAATTCTTGTATTTTATTTCAATAGACTTTTTTAAAATATAATTAGAGTCGGTTTTACCTAACCTGAACTTTAACTTCCACATTTTTTATTCAAATATTCCCCTTCTCTCCTTACATTTTATTCATCCTAATTTGTAGTACAGCTTTCGCATACTATTTTAAATATTTTTTTCTAGTTCCTCCCCAAATCAACGTATTGTCCGTACCCTACATAAACACTCTCTTTTCACCTTTCTGAAATCCTTCATTACTTCCCTCATATAATCAGAAAGAAAATATGAAAGCAGAGGAAAATAGATGGTTAACTAGAAAGTGAGATTATAAATAAGTACAACGAAAGATAGACAAAGAGACAGATACATAGATAGATATATCATAGATAGATAGATAGATAGCTCATAGATAGGTAGATAGACAGATACATACATACATACATACACCTATAGGTAGATAGATAGATAGATAAATGGATAGATAGAGAGATTGATAGATTGCTAGATAGATAGATAGAGAGAGATAGATACTAGATAGATAGATAGATAGAGGGGTATAAACATACATATATTCATAGATACATAGATGCATAGATAGACAGATAGACGGATATACAGATAGATAGACAGATAGATAGATAGACCAACAGACAGACAGAAAATGGATGGAAAAATGGACAGACAGATAGAGTATAAATAGATACATAGATACATAAATACATAGACAGAAAATTTAGAAAAATAGATAGATCGATAGACAAATAGATAGATAGATAGATAGATAGATAGACCGACAGACAGACAGACAGACAGATGGACAAATGGACAGACAGATATATTATAAATATTGTAACTCACCTGTGATCTAAATGCAAATAATAAAGATGTAGAAACAACCTCAGCTAGTAACAGCAACAGCACAATCAGAAAATACTGTCAAAGAGAAAAAAACAAAAACAAAATAGGAAATCTAATTAATCTTGATTTTAAGATACATCATTCTAAATTCAGGACAAACGGATAAAATTGATGCCTTCTACCGTAATTGAATTCATTTTGAGGGATACGACATGGGGTTTTCCCATTGATCCGGAGTAATTGAAAAAAAAAAAAAATTCTAAAGTGATAACAATGACACTACATGAAAGCTTCCTGTTCCAGCAAACAAAACGTTAAAACGTCAGATTATATTTTAAAGGTAATACAAATTTTGGGGAAAATTTTGAAAATTGTCTGGATTTAAATATTCTTTACAATTTTGAAATATTTGGATGCCCCTGTGGATGTATTATAAGCACTAACAAAGTAAGCCTCTAAAACATTTCTGCTTCCGAGAAAAATTGAATATCAAAATTTACTGGTGCTCCCGGTAAATTTCAAAATTTTCAAATAGCGCCTATACGGCCATAAATTGGTAGCTGCGAACATGAAAATATCATAAAATGTAGTTGTGATTTATAATTTTTCAAACAGGAATAGCCAATCGGTAAATTTCAGTAAAGAAACGTTGTTTTATAGCTAAATTATTATCTTCAACTTGAGAGGGAGCTATACAACATAAAGAGTTTATTATTTACAATTTCATGACTTAAGACTCGATTTCAACCGCGACAACGATCACTGAATATTGTAGGACCGCATATGCTTCCAATATGTTCATTTGAACCAAATTCATGACTCAATACCAATGCTGGAAGCCAGAAGATCAGAGAAAAAATGTTCCTTGAAAATCATGGCTCTTCAAATGCCTTCATATTGTAAATATGACAAGTAACAGCTTAAAAATGAGGCCCAATTTTTATGCCACATGTTCATGTAGCCCCATATACATCTTTCAGTGTACAGCGCTCGTAACTTTACCAAGACTGGGCCAGATTTCTTATCATTTTGATGATTCCAGAACCTTGCAGTACACACCAATACTTATATGCTAGATGATCAACTTTTTGATTCCATGCCGTTTCTTTCACAATGCGATCGCATGACCAGAACTCAACTTTATCTTTAAACGAGTGAAATCATTGTTTAAACTGAACTTCAATAATGAGCAAACTAACTGGGAGGTCTCCTTTCATATTCTCTCATCGAAGGGAGATATGTTACAACGATGAAAGGTAACAGATTAACAAATTAAATAATCCAAGTTTTGACTAATCATGGATAGTAATCAAAGTAGAGAGAATTCTTAATGCAGACAGGAAATCATCCATTTCCTCTCTGCATGGTTTCATATTTACACGACTTTCCTACAACTGCATCTCAAAGAAATTGAAGTCAGAAAGTATCAAATTCAGACGGCGAACTTGACTTTTGTTGAATTTTACAAGTTTTGTTGTAATGATACAATTTATATACAGTGAAACCTGCATATTATGAAACGTAAAGACCAGTATTGGAAACGCCCCAATTTCAAAAATGAAATGGAAGCTCTCATTACCAATCATGTGAAAGAATATGTTTTGACTAATACATGATGATAAAAAAATTGCCGGGAAACCGCCTACTATTTCATATATTTGGTAAATTTGTTTCTCTCATGGTCTGTGAGAGATATAGGGTAGTCCCATATACATCTTTCTGTGTATAGTGCTTGTAACTTTACGAAGAATGGGCCAAATTTCTTATCATTTTGATGATTCCAGAACCTTGCAGATGCTAGATGCTAGATGATCAACCTTTTCTGATCGATTCCACAACGTTTCTTTCACAATGCAATCGCATGACCATAACTGGTCTTTACCTTTAAGACCACTCAAAGGAAACCCCAAAACTGGTCTTTATAGGCAAGTGGTCTTTATGTACAGGTTCATTTAGTACAGGTTTCAATGAGAGACCATATTCAAGGGAAACAAAAAATGTTAATCTTTAAAGCAGGTTGACAGTATCACAAGGTATTCAATAGTCTACTGAACAAATGAGACAGCAAGAGAGATAGGATAAAAGAGACAGATGATGAGAGAAAATGAGAGGAAAAGAGAGAAAGATAAAATATAAATGAGACAAAAAAGAAAGAGATAACTTGGGAAAGAGAGAGAGAATGAAAGAGGGAAAAAAGGAAAATGACAAAATAGAAGTAAAGAAAGAGAGAGACGGAGAGAAAGAGGTTACTCCTTATTCGTTCAAACCTACCATACACTTGTATTTTTGACCATACATGTGGATACATGTACACTATAATTCAACTATAAAGAGTTATTAAGTATAATTTGTAAACAGCAAGAAATGTTTTTTAGCTCACAATTTATGCTTGTTATTCACATTTTAACAAAAGATTAAAAAAAGGACAACAATCTTCCCTAATCTATTTGTAGATGTCCCTTGCTTTTAGAAGTGTATAGATTTTTCAATTCTGCATCAGAGACCGCCCTGCAGCAGATACTGGTATATCATTTTTGCTTCAAATTGTGATGACCTGTCAGAACTGCAGACACTCCAATTCATAAAATTCATTCCCATTTTTGTACCAAAATTAATCAAGCATGACCTACATGTATCCACGTTATTGAAAAGCCGAGCACGTCGTGAAATAGTTACCATGGCGACCGCATTCACCATACATCCATAATTTATATTCAGAGGTACATTGAAGTCTAATGATGCCTCGCTACATGCACACTGCACGTGTATGTTATTAATGAACATAAATCTCTTTTAATATGCAATAAATCTGAAATAATCAAACTCATATGTAGTTTAGTATATCCATAAATCCATATTGCATATCTAATAATAGCAACAAATGAAGCTCTATTAATTGAACTCCATATAGAACATTGCAAGAAAGAACAGAAAACCATTATCAGACAATATAAACCAAAGCGCCAAGCGCTAAATGAACAAAATGCCAATGAAGACAAAAAAGCACTCTACAACTTACAAGACAAGTAAAAGATGTAATGCTCTAGTATATCTGAATTCCTTGCTATTCTTTGATTTTGTAGTACCAGTCATCTCTGTATTCAAAAAACAATGGAGCATTACTTAACTCACTTCGATGTATGTCTCCATGGAATAGCACTTCACTATGAATCTGTTTTAATTTGTAAGGAATCAACGTCCTTCATACTATGTGAACTTCAAGAAATGTAACAATGAAATACATGTCAAAGTCACCTAAAAATAAAAAATGCATACAGCAAGAATGATAATACAGTCAAACCTGCTTTAGCTACCACCTGTATAGAAAGACCACCTGTCTACAAAGAACACATTTTTGTTTCCCTTGAAAATGGTTTCTCATTGAAACATATCCTAAAGGAACCTGTACACAAATACCACCTGCCTATAAAGACCACTTTTCTTGTCTCCCTTGGGTTTTATAGAGAGGTTTCACTCTATCAACTTAAACAAATTTCATCCGGCATTAATTCTAAGAAGTAACTGATAAGGAATACAAAGAAATTAAAGATAAACAAGAAACTACTCATACAGAACCAAAATTAGACTTTGGTTGCATGCGAGCCCCATCTTATGGGGAGGTGGGGGGGGGGATTGAGTAGTCTACTCACAAGTTGTTTTTATGTTTAATTGAGAGTGTATTTAAAACTTGCAAACTGCAAAGTGTCTTTAAAAAAGTAATCTTAAAAGGTCATATTTCAAATGGTGCAATATGGTGGTGATCTGGTGATGTATTTATCCCTAACAAGACCAATAGGTATTGACAGTGCTGCTTTATTTTTGGCTTGGCTAAAATGAAAACAGGCAATTGGCAGGACCCAAGAACAATACTTTAAAAACAGAGTTGGCAAGGACTCAAATTTTTTTAACAGTATTTCCCCCCCCCCCCCTCCCCCTGATCGATCCCTAATGTCAAAAACAAATTTGGAAAAACCCTTTACCTACATCTATCCAAGAAGTCTTGATGGACTCAAAACAAGGAAAACTAAATTCCTACCGACTCCAATAAAAAATTAAACAATTAAAATTAACTGCATATAATTTTGCCCCCTCCTACAGTAATGAAATATACATCTGCGAGTAATGACAAATGAAAGAAAAGAAAGCGTCTAGATGAATATGTAAAAAATGTAAATTTGTTTATATATAATTGAGAATTCTGGCTGATTTTTTAAAATATATTATATTTATAATACAAAGTCCCTTAAGTTCTCTGGTTGCTTACCTACAAGTATACAAATGCTTCCGTTAATTGTATATAATTGAGAATTCTGGCGGATTTTAAAAAAAAATATTATCTTCATCATACAAAGTCACTTTGGTTCTCTGGTTGCTTACCTACAAGATACAAATGCTTTTGTTAATTAATTGTATATAATTAAGAATTCTGGCGGATTTTTAAAAAATATATTATCTTCATCATACAAAGTCACTTTGGTTCTCTGGTTGCTTACCTACAAGATACAAATGCTTTCATTAATTAATTGTATATGATTGAGAATTCTGGCTAATTTTTTTTTAAATATACTATTATACAAAGTCCCTTAAGTTCTCTGGTTGCTTACCTACAAGTATACAAATGCTTCCGTTAATTGTATATAATTGAGAATTCTGGCGGATTTTTAAAAAATATATTATCTTCATCATACAAAGTCACTTTGGTTCTCTGGTTGCTTACCTACAAGATACAAATGCTTTCATTAATTAATTGTATATAATTGAGAATTCCGGCTGATGTAAAAAATATATATATTTGTAATACAAAGTCCCTTTGGACTTCTGGTTGCTTACCTACAAGAATACAAATGCTTTCTAAGCAGTCAGGTAAAACTTAACCCAGTAATGTTTCCTTCCCGCAAACAGATCTGACAATTATAATGCAATGCATATTGCTAACTAGGGGGTGTATGCTGCGTTGCAACAACATCAAAAGTACATCCCAGTTCATACATCTTGAGAAATCATTCATGATGGGACAAATAAAAAAAAGGGCAAATGTCACAAAGTCAATTATCATGAAGCTTTATTGACTATTA